GAGGTGAAGATCTTTAAAACTGGCGGGCTTTGCTGCCATTGTATCAGTGTGCTGATCCACTACATGGAAGATTAAAAGCACTTATTACATTCTTCAGGGGGAGCAAGTCTAATCAAATAAGAACTCACACCACAGAGCTGTCTGGAAACTCACATCCATCAAAGTCATCCCTCTAGTCGGCACTGCAGCTAGTGTGCAAACAAATTCTAAGTACTATCCTAATCCTAAAAGGATTTTATATTTTGGATCTCTCTAGTCCGGCACCCTCGGGACCTGACCGATGCTGAACCAGAGAATTTGCCAAACCACACGAGGTCAATATTGTCTCGCAGCATGACCAGCACTTCCCCTAAGCTCTTACTGGGCTCTTAGAAGACATTTAGGGGTAAATTGGAACTAAATAACAGCACAGAACACTGAGCCAGGACTGAGGGCTGTAAACAAACTTTATGGGACTGCGGGAAACTTGGCCACACCCATGCTAAGTGGACATCTGGCTAACTAAAATCTTTCCGGACCATGGATATTGCCGGACCAGAGTGCAGCCATCTCTGAAAGTCATCATGTTCCATTGAGTGAAGCCATGGACTTGGGGTCAGGAATGGAACTGGATGAAAATTTTCATCTGAAACCGTTTTTTAGTTAAAAAAAAATAGAAAGAAAGAAATACAGCTGTGGTGATACGAAAAGATTTTACTAATTTGTGTCACTTTCACCAAATTGTCCCCTCCCCCGGCCCAAATTCCAAAACAATCAAAATATTTCCCTTGGAAAAAGCAACAAGGAGTCCAGTGGCACCTTAAAGACTAACGACCTTATTATGGCATAAGCTTTCATAAATTGCAGCTCACATCATCAGATGTATGAAGGGAAAGAAAAAGAAACAGTAGGGATGCAGAGATGAGAGTGTTACACCAGCTCTAATTCAAACTCTGGCTGTGGCTAAGAAAGTGAGAATACTTAAAGGGGAAAATTACTCATTGTAATTAAAGAGCCATTCCCAGCCCCAGACCCATTCTGATGATGTCAAATTTACATATAAATTCCAACTCAGCAGTTTCACACTGCAGACAGTTTTTGAAGGGTTTATTTGTTTGTTTGTTTGTTTGTTTTGTTTTGCTTCGATTAAGGATGGCAATTTTCAATATTATTCCGAAATAACTATGCGAGTGTCTACACAGCTAGCCCATTATTTTGAAATAATTTCAAAATTATGGGCAGCTTACTTCGGTGTTTGCAAACCTCATTCCAAGAGGAAAAACACTTCTTCTGAAATAGCTATTTCGGAATAGCAGTATTGTGGATGCTCCCTTGCTGCTTCTGTTTTGAAATAGCTCCTCCCCCAGGCCATTCAAAGTATTTACTCCCCAGTGCTTCCTGGGGCTCTAAATTGAAGTAGCACGTCCACAGTAGGGGAGCCTGCCTTGGACTAATTTCCAGGCCACCCTGTAGTGTAGACGTGCTATTTCAAAATAAGAACATAAGAATATAAGAACATTTCTTCGAGAATAGCTTATTTTGAAATAATCATACAGTGTAGACATAGCCTAAGTATGTATCCAGGGAGGTTAAAATGTTCTCCCCACTGGATTTTGTACGTTACAATTCTTGATGTCTGATTTGTGTCACTGTATTCTGTTGCTCCGAGACAATATACATGGCTGAGGGGCATTGCTGGCACATGCTGGCATATATCACATTAGGAGAGGTGCAGGTGCATGAGCCTTTGATGGTACGGTTGATGTGGTTAGGTCCTGTGATGGCGTCACTAGGGTAAATGTGTGGACAGAGTTGGCAATGGGATTTGTTGCAGGGATTGGTTCCCGGCTTAGTGTTTCTGTTGTGCGGTATGTAGTTGGTGGTGAGTTTCAGGTTGAGGGGTCCCTCTGTAAGACAGGACTGGCTTGTCACCTGAGGTCTGTGACAGCAAGGCATCATCACTTAGGATAGGTTGCAGATCCTTGATGATGTGTTGGAGAGGTTTTAGTAGGTAGTGGCCAGTGGAATTCTCGTGCTCTCTTTGTTGGGTCTGTCCTGTAGTAGATGACTTCTAGGTATCTGCCTGGCTCTGTCAATCTGTTTCTTCACTTCCCCAGGTGCTTCCCAGCTGCTTGGTAGAGATTCTGTAGCTGTTTGTCTCTGTCTAAGGGTACGTCTATGCTGCATGCTTTTTTCAAAATAAACTATTCCGGAATAGTTATTCCAAAATAGCTTATTTTGAAATAGCACATCTGTACTGCATGGAAGCCCCAAAATTAGTCTGAGGCAAGCTTCCCTAATGTGGACGTGCTACCTCGATTTAGAGCCCTAGGAGGCATGGGGAGGAATAATTTACAATAGCCCTATTGAGGGGCTATTTCGAAATAGCAGCAGTGGAGCATCTACCCACGCCTTATTTCGAAATAGCTATTTTGGAATAGGCTTTACTCCTTGTGGAATGAGGTTTACAGATTTTGGAATTATGCCATCCTTTATTTCGAAATTATTTAAAAAATAACAGAATGGCTGTGTAGACACTCTCATTGTTATTTCGAAATAACACGAGTTATCTCGAAATAATGGTGCAGCGTAGACATACCCTAAGGGACTGGAGCAAATGCAGCTGTATCTGAGGACTTGGCTGTAGACTATGGATCATGTGATGTGATCTGGATGAAAGCTGGAAGCCTGTAGATAAGTATAGCGGTCAGTAGGTTTCCAGTATAGGGTGATGTTTATGTGACCATCATTTATTTGCACTGTAGTGTCCAGGAAGTTGGTCTCTTGGGTGGAGTGGCCCAGGCTGAGATTGATGGTGGGGTGGAAATTGTTGAATTCTTCAAGGGCCTCTGTCTCGTGGGTCCAGATTATGTAGATGTCATCAATGTACAACAAATAGAGGAGGGGCACTTGGGGCTGGGAGCTGAGGAAGTGTTGTTCTAAGTCGGACATAAAAATGTTAGCATCCTGCAGGGTCATGTGGGTATCCATAGCACTGCCACTGACTTGAAGGTGTAAATTATCCCCAAACCTGAAATGGTTGTGAGTGAGAACAACGTTGCAAAGCTCAGCCACCAGCTGGCATCATTGGGGATACAGTTCCTGAGGGCTTATAGTCCATATTTGTGTGGAACGTTGATGTGGAGAGCTTCTCCACCCATACCATCCAGGATGGTGTTTTCTGGAAGATCACCAATGGATTGTAGTTATCTCTGGAAGTCAGTGGTATCTCAAAGATAGCTAGGAGTGCTGGGATTGTAAGGCCTGAGGAGATGGGCTATATAGCTAGATAATCCTGCTGTAGGAGTGCCAGTCCCAGAGATGGTGGGACATCCAGGATTTCCAGGTTTATGGATCTTGGGTAGCAAATAGACTAACCCCAGTCAGGTCTCAGGAGGAGTATCTGTGAAAATTTCTTCCTATGCTTCTTCAGGAAGTTTCTTGTATAAATGGTATAGTTTGGTTTGGTACCCCGCCGTGGGATCAAAGGATAGTGGCCTGTGGCATGCAGAGTTGGAGAGTTGTCTAGCCACCTCCAGTTCGTCATCTGACCTCTTCATGATGACTCCAGCATCTCCTTTGTCAACCTCTTTGAGTGTAACGTCAGAGCTGTCCCAGATGGCGTTGTGTTCGGCACAGCTGAGGTTATGGGGCACAACTCCCTTTGGTTTGGGGTGGGGGGAGGTCATAATGACTTTTGTTGCAAAATTCCTTTCAAATGTATTTTCAAAAAATGGAAATATATATATATATATATATAACCAGACTCTAAATTAAATGTTGAATTTTGCATCAACTGAAATGTTCCCTTCAACCCAGAACGTTGGTTTTTGTTTTTTTAATCAGTCCTTTTGTTTATAGCACTACCTGAAACTTCCCATACCACCGTCTTTTGGAACTGCAAATGAACCAACAAAATCCCCTATTCTCATCGCTGTACTCAAGAGATCCGGGTTCTATGCCTGGGCCTCCCACTCAGCTGCTGTCTGATTTTAGGCACATCACCTCTCCTTCCCCTCAACCACTCTGTCTCTCTTGTCTGTGTCGACTGTCAGCTTCTGGAAGCAGATACCATTTTTTGCTGAATTTCTACAGCACCCAGCAAAACGGGAGGGGGGGGGACACAATTTCAGCTGTGGCCTCTAAGTGCCAATATAACACAAATACAACTTTTTTTAAAGTGGGGACAGGGGAAGGGAGAAAACAGTAATGGCTCCCATTTATGGGAGCTGCGGACTTAAGCCTCCTTGCTGGCTTTGAAAATCAAAATTAGGGTTTTTAAAATGTGTTTAATTAAGAAATTGTGAAACTGCTGACAAATTCAGCAGATACATGGTTACATGCAGGGGCAGGTGGCTCCCACCTGCAACCCCCTGCTGCTGCCTCTGGATCCCACAGGGGTCAATTTAGCGGGTCTAGTGAAGTCCCACCAAATTGTCCACTGATGGTGCTCTCGTCGACTCCGGGACTCCACCCAATTGAGAAGCATAAGGGGAGTCGACAGGACAGTTTCTCCCATCGACTCCCCACAGTGGAGACACAGCGGCAACCCACTCCAAGGTATGTCAACTCCAGCGACGCTATTCAACAGGGCTGGAGTTGCGTACCTGAGTTCAACATTGACCCAAAGTCCGCTCTGCTAATGGCTCCAGTTAGGATGCAGCTTAGCAGAGATCACTAGTAAGAACGTCTATTCTTCCTATGTCTAGTTTGCAAACATAGGGCTCTGGCTACGTCACTTATTCCCTTCTCAGGAATAACATTTTATGCTTCTCTCGCATCTTACACCTGAAGGTCTCAAAGCACATTACAAGCAGTAGATCATCAAATCTGAAAACCCCTCTATGAAGTTAATAATAGTATGATACCAGTATTGCAACTGGGGAAACTGAGGCATGAGGCGGCTAAACAACTTGCCCAAGATCCCCCAGTGTGCCAGTGGCAGAGTTGGGAATAGACGTTTCCTAGAGGGAGAAAACAATTAAATGTATTATTATTATTATCTCTTGTTTTCCATGTAGGAGGCAGTGCAGGATTTGACTTCAGCCCTCAAAGAGGATACAGCCGTGGTAATCCCAGAGATCCTGTCGTTAAAGCAGGAAGCCCAATTGCTCATCACTCAGTGGCTGCTTGACCACTGCAGGGCTGTGTTAACTGAACTTGTTGCCCATAAGGACCATCCCAAGGAAGAGACACTCAAGGACCTCATTGTGATTGGTGGGTCTTTAATTAAAATGAACAGCCAGGAAGCAAGATGTCACATCTTATATGGCGACATTTTAATGGCAGATGGTAAGTTCCCTTCCTCGTGTACAGCAAATCTGTAAGACTTAGGGGTATGTCTACGCTACCCCGCTAGTTCGAACTAGCGGGGGAATGTATGCATACCGCACTTGCTAATGAAGCCCGGGAAATTCAAATCCCGGGCTTCATTAGCATAAGCGGGGAGCCGCCATTTTTAAATCCCCGCTGGTTCGAACCCAGTGTAGCGCGGCTACACGGGGCTCGAACTAGGTAGTTCGGACTAGGTTCCTATTCCGAACTACCGTTACTCCTCGTGAAACGAGGTGTACCGGTAGTTCGGAGTAGGCACCCTAGTCCGAACTACCTAGTTCGAGCCCCGTGTAGCCGCGCTGCACGGGGTTCGAAGCAGCGGGGATTTAAAAATGGCGGCTCCCCGCTTATGCTAATGAAGCCCGGGAAATTCAAATCCCAGGCTTCATTAGCAAGTGCGGTATGCATACATTCCCCCGCTAGTTCGAACTAGCGGGGTAGTGTAGACATACCCTAGGGTATTGGTACCATGATGCTACATGCCTGGCATACCCTGAAAGTACTGGACAAACACAGTGTGCAGGAATCACTTTGCCTACAATCTCAGGGGGTAAGTGTGTTAGTTTAGGTTGGACATTAGGGAAAACATCCCAGCCGTCAGGGTGGTTAAACACTGGAATAAATTGCCTATGGAGGTTGGGGGAACTCCATCACTGGAGATATTTAAGAGCAGGTTAGGGATGATCTAGATCAGGGGTCTCCAACCTTTTGAAGCCTGAGATCACTTTTTGAATTTAAGTGCAATCCAGGATCTACCTCAAACCCAAACACTCTTGCCCCTCCTCCTTCCTGCCCCTTCTCCAAGGCCCTTCCCCTGCCCACTCCATCCTCCCTCCCCAATCCTCACTCACTTTTGTAGGCTGGGGGCAGTAGTTCGGGATGCAGGAGGGACTCAGGACTGGGGATGGGGTTCAGAATGTGGGCTCCAGCTGGGCACCACTTACCACAGGTGGCTTCTGGGCCACCCCTACTCTGGCCCTGCACCACTCCCAAAAGCAGCCAGCAAACTCCCTCCATCCCTGCCCCCCTCTACTCTGTGGAGATGTAATACAGGGTGGAGGGTGGAGATGTAGTACAGGGTGGAGGGACACTCTGGCATCAGCACCCCTCTTCCTCTTCTTCCTGTGTCCTGCACAGCAAACAGGAGACTCCAAGGGGCGAGGGGTACCTCCAAGGTAGAGCAGGAGCAGCACAGCAGTGCTTAGAGGGGCAGAGGAAGTGCTTGCATATGATAGCCTCCCGGCCAAACCAGTCAGGATCACCTGTCAAAGGCTCCAAGATCTACCAGTCGATCCCGATCTACTGGTTGGTGACCACTGATCTAGATGGTGCTTGGTCCTGCTGTGAGAGCAGGGAACTGGACTTGATGACCTCTCGAGGTCCCTTCCAGTTCTAGGATTCTAGGATTCTATGGTAAGTTCTCTTCCTCAGGTTATTTTGGGTATGTCTACACACAATTTTAATATCGGAAGAAGGAGGCAAACAGCGCCGCACATTTGCATACTTCCTCCGGATTTTTTTTCGGAAGACACTCTTCCGGTATTTACCTGCGTCTACCCATGGCCGAATTTCAAAATAAACCCCTATTTCAAAAGACCCCTGTAAACCTCATTGTAGGCGGAATAAGGGGTCATTTGAAATAGGGGTTTATTTCCAAATTCAGCCGCGTGTAGACACGGGTAAAAACCAGTAGCGCGTCTTCTGAAAAAAAACCAGAGGAAGTATGCAAATGTGCGGCACTATTTACATCCTTCTCCCAAAATAAAAATTGTGTGTAAATCTATCCTTTCGCTATAAGACTTAAGGCACTGATACCATGATACTGTGCCTCATGGCACACCTAAAAAATGCTAGGGACACACTGTATTCAGGAATCACTTTGCCTACTATCCGAGGCTTGGTCTGAGGCATGGTCTATACCAGACCAAAATTCATAGCTGACATTGGTTTACCAGAAGCCGAGCTTTGGCAGCATCCACACAATAGGAAGCCAACAGGAACCAACACTCCCGGTAGATTCCCTTACTCCTCACAGAAAGAGTAGCAGACGCAAGCAGGGGCAGCTTCAGCGTTTGATCTATGGGTCTATACTCGACCCACTAAATCGAACACCAGAAGATCGACCTCCAGAGCATCGCTCTTCTGGTAAGTATAGACATGCCCTAGGAGGGTAGCTGTGTTAGCCCATATCTGCAAAAACAATGCATCTGATGAAGGGGGGGGTTTACCCATGAAAACTGATGCCCAAATCAATTTGTTAGTCTTTAAGGGACCACAGGACTGCTCCTTGTTTTTGCCCACTGTAGGAATGTAGAGATTCGGAGGGTAGAAGTGTTACACAACAACACAATACCACAGGTTAGGAGAGATATTTCAGAATATTTCATTCTCTGGTGAATTTACGGAGGCAGAAGGTGATCAATGAAACTAGAATGGGACTGGGCATTGAAGCCACCCCTCGTCTCTTGGGAAAAGGCTGTGAGATCATCAGTTACGTTACATGGGCACAACCTCAGTTTTATCTCCTCCAAAAGAACTTTGGAATGGGACCAATGACTGTTATCGCCAGGCTCAGTCACCAGCAGTGCTAACTCAGAAGCCATCACCCAGCTACACTTCCCACAGGGCCCTTCTTCGGAGACCTCCCAGCTAACGACTGAACAGGCTCACTGGTATTCATTCTGAGGGAGCAGGGGGTTGGTAGCAGCTCTACGGCTGAGATAAGTTTTGCACTGAAAGCAGGGATTACGTAGCTACCAACTTGTGCCCCTGTGGTGCTCAACACTGAATATAGACGAGACATAGTCCCTTCTAGAGGATTTTACAGTCCCACAACAGAATGCCTTAGAGCTGGCATGGCCATATTGAGTCACAGTGAACTGATTGAGAAAGTCGCTTTTTATACTAATGAAAACATAAAGGAAACGTTTAGAAGACCCAGGACAATCAGGCGGGGTTACAGAGTCTCAGTAGTTGTGCCACAGTAACCAAATAACTTACCATAGGACTCCAAATGCTTAACCTAGATTGCTGTAGTCTGAAAATTGTAGCAGGTGAAAATCAATACAGTTTTCAAGTACCTAAAAGAGTTCTACAAGGAGGGAGAAAAATTGTTCTCCTTGGCCTCGGATAGAACAAGAAGCAATGGGCTCAAATTGCAGCAAGAGAGATTTAAATTGGACATTAGAAAAAGCTTCCTGCCTGTCAGGTGGTTAAACACTGGAATAAATTGCCTGGGGAGGTTGTGGGTTCTCCATCACTGGAGATATTTAAGAGCAGATTGGATAGACACCTGTCAGGGATGCTATAGATGGTGCTTGATCCTGCCATGAGGGCAGTGAACTAGACTTGATGATCTCTTGAGCGCCTTTCCGGTTCCAGTATTCTATTATTCTATTATATAATTGCTGGAGGTTTCCGTGGTGTATCCTTCTGGATTTGGTATATGTTATTTACTCACTGTCACGGCATTTACCAACAGGGAGGTCTGAAGAGGCCCTTCGTCATCTCCAGAAGTCATTCGGCCAGGCTTCCGCTGACAGATCTGCCAGCGCGCGACTGGCTGTGCTGCAGCTGAGGAGGAGAAACATGCTGCCGACAGCTCACACCTTGAGCATTTTGGCTGAGAAAGACCCAGGGGAGCTGGGATTCCTCATGAACTTTTTAGACACCAAGCAACGACAGAACCTCTTTCAGGTACATCTCTCTTGGAAGCTGCCTCTGCACCCATAATACACAAATCAGCTGCCAGGCGGCCAGCTCATGCCATGGGGCTCAGTGGGGGAGAGACACATTTAGGCTCAACGTGGTGGGTAACATATGAACATATTTGTTAATTAGCTCCAGGCCCCCTGGTTTGCAGCTCTCCAAGCTTGCAGTGGAGCGAGGAGCAAGAAGGGGCTAGATAAAGGTGGCACAAGTAGGTGCCTTCCTCTTTTTTCTTCTTAATTCAGCAAAGGGAGCATGAGTCTCAGTTTGACCCCAATCACTGGTTTTATTGTTGTATAAACAGTGACCCTGCTATCTCTGTCCTGAGTCACCAGCCCTACCCCTGGCACCATTCATGGGAATGTCTTGGAGGTCTCCTCTCCAAGGGTTGACCCTGTTTAATCCAGATATCATGGCAACAAGGGCCATGCGGGTAGAAAGATGAAACAGAACAATAGATTGAAATTTAACCAGCCCGTTGCCCAAGCTGCTGCATGCACTGCGGCATCGCTTATTCTGGAAAGTGATAAGCCAGGAGAAGGTCGGTCTCATGATGAGCAGGGTCCATGTTTGAGCATCTGCAGTTCCAACTACCTAGATGCTCTGGCTGTGTCTAGAGTGCACCCCTTTTCCGTAAAAGGGATGCAAATTAGACACATCGCAATTGCAAATGAAGCGGGGATTTAAATCCCCCCCGCTTCATTTGCATGAACATGGCTGCTGCTTTTTTCCAGCTCAGGGCTTTGCCGGAAAAAGCGCCAGTCTAGACGGGGATCTTTCGGAAAATAAAGCCTTTTCCAAAAGATCCTTTATTCCTTTTTTTAAGATGAATAAGGGATCTTTTGGAAAAGGCTTTATTTTCCGAAAGATCCCCGTCTAGACTGGCGCTTTTTCCGGCAAAGCCCTGAGCTGGAAAAAAGCAGCAGCCATGTTCATGCAAATGAAGCGGGGGGGATTTAAATCCCCGCTTCATTTGCAATTGCGATGTGTCTAATTTGCATCCCTTTTACGGAAGAGGGGTGCAGTCTAGACACAGCCTCTGTGTTCTGGGAACGCTCACTCCTAATCAGCATTTGTTTGCTTCCTTTTATTCAATTTGTGGCTTGTGGGTTGTGCGTGCGGTCCGATGGGAAGCTACATTGTTCTGCCTTCTCCTGGTTTATAAAACTAGCCACACGCTGATACTCTAAATGCACCTTGAGAGGAGTACTTCAGATGTATTTGAGTGAGCCTGCAGGAGGACAGAAGTAAACAAGAATTAATTTACTGGTCCCTAGATACACTCCATTACAGTGAAAAAAAGCCTCTCTTCTCTGGACACTGTATGAAGTTTACTCTGCTGAGCGAGCTGTGAGGAGATATGAGAAGTAATTTGCAATCAGTGACAATATAAAGAAGATAAAGGTGCAATCAACTGTTTCTCTGGAGATGCGAGAGAAGGGGCCGCGGAGCGAAGATAAGGTTGGGCTGAATTTTCAGAGTGGCCAGGTGGTGCTGTCTGTATTGCAGTGTCACAGCTCTGAAAGCCCAGGAGCTCTTTTGAGTTGCTGATAAGAAAAACGTACTTTTGGCCCAGTGCCCACAGGCCTGACTGTTGGGGAACTCAGGGTGCGACTGAGAATGAAATCTTCAGAAGTGGAAGAGCCAGGTTTCTTTCTGCCTTTTGTCCATCCTGAACAAGCCTTGAGAATCATAGAATCCTAGGGCTGAAAGAGACCTCAGGGGGTCATCGAGTCCAGCCCCCTGCCCAAGGCAGGACCAACCCAACTAAATTATCCCAGCCAGGGCTTTGTCCAGCCAGGACTTCAAAACCTCTAGGGATGAAGATTCCACCCCCTCCCTAGGGAACCCATCCCAGCACTTCCCCACCCTCCTAGGGAAATCATTTTTCCTAATATCCAACCTAGACCTACCCCACTGCAACCTGAGACCATTGCTCCTTGTTCTGCCACCCGTCACCACTGAGAACAGCCTCTCTCCAGCCTCTTTGGAACCTCCCTTCAGGAAGTTGAAGGCTGCTATCAAATCCTCCCTCACTCTTCTCTTCTGCAGACTAAACAGATCCAATCCCTCAGCCTCACCTCGTAAGTCATATGCTCCAGCCCCCTAATCATTTTGGTCGCCCTCCACTGGACTTTCTCCAATGTGTCCACATCCTTTCTGTAGTAGGGGTCCCAGAATTGGACACAATACTCCAGATGTGGCCTCAGCAGAGCTGAGTAAAGGGGAATAATGACATCTCTGGATCAACAGGCAATGCTCCTCTTAATGCAACCTAATACAGTATGCCATTAGCCTTCTTGGCTACAAGGGCACATTGTTGACTCATGTCCAGCTTCTCATCCACTGTAACTCCCAGGTCCTTTTCTACAGAACTGCGACTTAGACAGTCGATCCCCAGCCTGTACCAATGCTTGGGATTCTTCTGTCCCAAGTGCAGGACTCTACACTTGTCCTTGTTGAACCTCATCAGATTTCTTGTGGACCAATCCTCCAATTTGTCTAAGTCACTCTGGACTCTATCCCTTCCCTCCAGCAGATCTACCTCTCCCCCGGCTTAGTATCATCCGCAAACTTGCTAAGGGTGCAATCCATCCCCTCATCCAGGTCACTCTTCTCTTCTGCAGACTAAACAAGCCCCAATCCCTCAGCCTCGCCTCGTAAGACATATGCTCCAGCCTCCTAATCATTTTGTTTGCCCTATACTGAACTTTCTCCAATGTGTCCATATCCTTTCTGTAATGGGGGGCCCAGAATTGGACACAATTCTCCAAATGTGGCCTCACCAGTGCCAAATACAGGGGAATAATCACTTCCCTAGATCTGCTGGCAAAGCGCCCACTAATGCTCCTGCTAATGCTCCTACGTTGCCGTTGGCTGCCATTAGCTGAGTTTGTTTCAAAGAAGGAGTTGATAGGAGGATTGAAAATACAAGACGACTCTTTTCATATTTGGTTTGTGATCTCCCGGCGGGTGCACCTGTGAACCTCAGCCATGGGGAAGGCTTTTCACCGAGCGTTGATCTTGACCGCAGAAGGGTCACTGGCTACCGTGCGTTTGATTAGTGATTAGCCTGGAATAAAACTTGTGAACTAAACACTCCTGGATGCTTCAGGGATTGAAATCACTCCCCACCTCGGCTGTTTTCTGGGTGTTTCACCTATAAACCGTTGTTGGGAGACATGGGGATTTAAGTACCTGTGTGTGAAAGGAAGCTTTTGGTCAGGGAACCTCACAGTCTTGCCAGGTCCCTGGGAAAGATGAGGGGAGAAAATGTCTCTGCACTGCTGGAAGGGGTGGGGCCTCAGGCAGAAGGGGTGGGGCTTCAGGCAGTCAGCTCTCAGTGCTGCCCAGAGCACAGCACAGCACCTTGCCAGCCTTCAGAGCTGCCTGGAGAGCGCCGTGTGGTGCTCCGGCAGCGGTTTAAAGGGCATGAGGCACTGGCTACACACTCTTTATGCTAAAATAAGTGCAAGAGCCTCAATGTGCTTTACAGAGATGATTCCATTAATGAAACCCCTGGAGGAGTTGATTCCATGGTTGCCTAGGAAACCGAGACATTTGGGGAATCATCCAAGGGCACACAGGAAGTCAGTAGCAGAGCTGGAAATACCATGTAGGTGTCCTGACTCCCCAGTCTCCTGCTCTAGCAGCTTTATGCTAAAATAAGTGCAAGAGCCTCAATGTGCTTTACAGAGATGATTCCATTAATGAAACCCCTGGAGGAGTTGATTCCATGGTTGCCTAGGAAACCGAGACATTTGGGGAATCATCCAAGGGCACACAGGAAGTCAGTAGCAGAGCTGGAAATACCATGTAGGTGTCCTGACTCCCCAGTCTCCTGCTCTAGCAGTTCAGAAGCAATCACATTGCCGCACACAGATTCCACGGCGTCTGGGGACAAAGGATGCTGTAGAAATATGCTGTTGGTATCCTGGAGTCAGGCAACAAATTAAAACCCAATTAAAAGCCATCTGCATGGGAAAGGGTGGAGAAAGGAACTCCCCTGATGCTGGGGGAAAAGCCCTGCTGTTTTTAAAAACTTGATAAGCAAAGTAATTACAAATAATAAAACCCTCCCACTTAGAGTCAAGCAACTCCTGCACTGAGGAGTATGAAATTAGTGGAAAGGTCATTTGGGCCTATGAATGTGAAAGTTGTATTTGATTCCAGAAGGTCAGGGGAAAGGAGTCTGCTATGAGGGAGAGGTTAAAAATGTATTGCTGGGAGCCAGCTATTGGTTTTTCCCGTGAGCAATGTGAAACTGCATCTCCACAGAACATAAGGATCAGAATGGCCATATTGGGTCAGACCAAAGGTCTATCTAGGCCAGTCTCCTGTCTTCCAACAGTGGCCCCAGAGGGAATCATCAAGGAATCCCCATCCCATGTCGCCCATTCCCAGCTTCTGACAAACGGAGGCTAGGGACACCATTCCCACACATCCTGGCCAATAGCCATTGATGGACCTAACCGCCATGAATCTATCTAGCTCTTTTTTGAACCCTGTTAAAGTCCTAGCCTCCAGCATATCATCTGACAAGGAGTTCCACAGGTTGACAGTGCTCTAAGTCAAGAAAATGGCCCCTTTTCCGGAAGGGGCATGTAAATTTCACTAGTCGTCGTAGGGAAATCCGCGGGGGATTTAAATATCCCCCGCGGCATTTAAATAAAAATGTCCGCCGCTTTTTTCCGGCTTTTAAAAAAGCCGGAAAAGAGCGTCTACACTGGCCCCGATCCTCCAATGTAGATGTGCTTTTTCCGGAAATACTTATAACGGAAAACTGTTCCGTTTTAAGCATTTCCAGAAAAGGGTGGCAGTGTAGACGTAGCCATGGGGTTTGAGCAGGGGCATAAAATTAACTATGGGCTAAAATCTTTCCTGCCCTGAGCCAACAGGCCCACAGGCCCAGTCCTGTGACAAGCTGAATACTCCCATTTCCCACAGAAAGATTCTGCAGGCAGAGACATTAGCAGAAATTTCAGAGA